GGATGGTGAACAGAGTAATTATAAATGTATTACAGAAAGTAACTACATGCATGTATTTAAGCAAATAAAAATACAATGTAAAACTATGTATTTATGTTTTTTTAGTACACATTAGTTAAGACCAATATAAAATGTGACCATAAAAAGCAATTAGTTTATTTACTCCAAAAAGAGAGTAAACATGTTGCCTTAAAAGTACTAAGTAAATGTAAAAAATTAAATGAAAATAAAAAAGTCAACTTACTGTCGCAGTACCAAGTTACAATGAGTTCACTCACTTTTTGAAGTAGCTTATAACTTAGATACCTAAATGGGATAGTTGAAATTCATTGAGGGTTAATGTAATAGGGCTTTAAAGAAAGTACTCCAGGAGTTCTGACGCCTTGATGTTATGATAGTCTGAGAAATCTGAACCTTTATTTCAGGGCTAAAATTAAATATATATCAAAACCTCACTCATGAGAATCTGGCTGAGAATAATAATTGAATTCAGAGGGTTTCCTCTGAAAGATTACAAGAGATTCCATTAAAGACCTGAATATAAATGACTATAATCAGCTGCATTCTTGTTATAGAGAGAGACACTGCTTGAAAAGCCTACGATGTATCTCTAATCGTTTAAATTCTTCTTACATTTCAGTCCAAGAATTTAGTTTAATTAGGCATAAAAAGTATGCGGTAATATTAATAAGCATTATGCAAATTTATTTTGAGTGCTACCAACACAAGACTGTGACTTCAATGCAGTGTTTACTTAGCAGTTGACTCTGGTTTCACATTTCAAGTTATGCATTTATATGTTCTTACACACATAAATCAATCACTTGACACTGTTTGTTTGACACGCTGAATATCTTGCATACTGTGAAGTAAGTACCTTGTGACATTTTGATTGCAGAAAGTTCTGCCTGGTAATTTCTGTACCTTTAAATGCATTACATTCAGAAGCCGAGTAATTAACAGACAGCTGCTTTAATACAAGTAAATCGAAAGATCCTCCAAATGCAATCAGTTGGTAAATAGAATTTGTTGTTTTCACAATCAGAAAGTAAACAAGATATTCTATAGGGAGTAGGAATGGTTGTCTTAATTGCTTTGTGTTGTAGGCAAGTCAGGACGCAAGTGAAATAAATACAGTTTTAGCCGCTCAGCCTCTCACTTCAAGTAATACAGCTGTCATGAAGTAAGAGGGTACTTATGTCCTCATTTAGTAATGCGTCTGTATGATCTGCTAATCAGTGCTGAAGTTGTACTGTATTTAATGCAGAAGACATCTGTAAAGGAATTACTCTGCAAACAAAGAATGAGCAATATGTGGTGTTAGCAGGCACCACTGATGGGACTAGTTTAACTTTGTTGCCTTGTTAAAATATCTTTTGTTCATTAATATACTTCAGTAAACCCTGTTCAGATTGCACATTTTCCCTACAATTTCAGCATGATATTCTTGATGTAGGGGATTTGTAAATAACAAATGAACATTGGAACACAAGATTCAATTATTTATTTGCTATAGCGTGTTATAGTGCAAGGGCATGCCACATTGACACAGAGGCTGATTTGCAATATAAGTTCTTAAGCGATTTTGCATCTTAGCAATATCATGTTATGTCATAGTCAACCACCAAAGTTTAGTTCTAATAGTCAAGATCGCAAAAACAGGAGATGCATAAATAGACCCGGATGTGTTCTTGATGTTGCAAAAAAACAATGGACACTCAGAAATCAATGAGTCCCAGAAATCATTGCAGCTAAATAAAGGAGGAGGAAAGCGCAATGTTTTATATTCACTATTGGTTACTCTTCAGAGATATAACTTCTTTTTCTCTGTAAAATGAGATGGTAAAAGTAAGCATTTACACAACAAAATTCAGTAAAGGCACAAATACCTTGAAATATGTTCTTTGGATAAATTCATTCAATTATTTTCTGGTAAAACTTGTGGAGATCAAGTGATCAACAGGAAGATCACAGCATTTCATTTCTCACAGGACCCGTTCTTTGTTCGATATTCCCTGGTAACTTGGGCACGGTCCGTACTCCATGAGAATGCTAGTCCATTCTCTGCATTCTTGTTATTGAGAAACTTGGTCTCGTGAACACGGAAGTGTACCACAGGTGCCGTGAGGGCACAATTGGTAAAGTAAGTTCAACTCATGGGCGAGGCAGTAGCGCAGTAGTTAGTGCTGTCGCCTCACAGCAAAAAGGTCGCTGGGTCGCTGGTTCGAACCTCGGCTCAGTTGGGTTTTCTGTGTGGAGATTGCATGTTCTCCCTGCCTTCGCGTGGGTTTCCTCCGGGTGCTCTGGCTTCTACCACAGTCCAAAGACATGCAGTACAGGTGAATTGGGTAGGCTAAATTGTCCGTAGTGTATGAGTGTGTGTGAATGTGTGTGTGGATGTTTCCCAGAGATGGGTTGCGGCTGGAATAAATACTTGCTGGATAAGTTGGCGGTTCATTCCGCTGTGCCGACCCCGGGTTAATAAAGGGACTAAGCCGACAAGAAAATGAATGAATGAATGAGTTCAACTCATTTGATTCATAGTTGGGGCGTCATGATGACACAGTGGGTAGCACAATCACCTCACAGCAAGAAGGTTGCTGGTTCGAGCCCTGGCTGGGTCAGTTGGCATTTCTGTGTGGAGTTTGCATGTTCTCCCCATGCTGGCGTGGGTTTCCTCTTGGTGCTCCAGTTTCCCCCACAAGTCCAAAAACATGTGGTATAGGTGAATTGGGTTAGCTAAAATTGTCTGAAGTATATGAGTGTGAATAGGTGTGTATGGATGTTTCCCAGTGATGGGTTACAGCTGGAAGGGCGTCAGTTGCGTAAAACATGTGCTGGATAAGTTGGTAGTTCATTCCACTGTGGCGACCCGAGATTAATAAAGGAACTAAGCCGAAAAGAAAATGAATGAATGGTTCATAGTCCTGATTCAACTGGGTTGACCAAAATTTCTGACATGTCATCATCTGATTGCCAGTAGGTACAGTATAGATTAATTGTCTCTCTGTTCTCCTGCACACAGCACAGAATGACAAAAGACCAACAACAAAACTAAAATTTGGCCCGATTCAAAGAAGAGTCACACAAGTCAGAATTTGACCTAAAATTGGACCAAAATCTCACAATCTATGCCAAGCTGAACCACCCTAATCTAACACAATAACTGTTGTCTCAATGGGGCAATTTATTGGCTTCATTTAAAATGATTTATTTAGATTAATAAACAAAGTCCCTTTTAAAATCATTCACGTTGGCAGTCATCTTGGAAATGCCACCATGCAACTATTTTCACTAATGTGAGAATATCATGAAATTTCATGAAACAAAAAGTCTGTCACAATTCTGGTGTATCTACGTTGCATTTAATCATGTGATTCCCTTTGTGCCGTGCTCCATGTGTTTTATGTTTGCGTCATATCATTCCTTTGTTCTGTTTTCCCGCCGTGTGTTAGTGTTCAGCATTTCCACCTGTGTCTCACCCCTGTTTGTATTCAGTTCATTATGTTTTGTGTATTCATACCTCTGTATTTTGTTCAGTTCTTCATTTGGTTTTGAATTGTTAACCCTCCTTGTGATTCCTGTGTGCCGATTTTCTGTTTTTGTTGTAAGTGCGTTTTTGTAAATAAATAGTGTGTTTTTGACATCTCAGAGTCTCGATCATCTGTGAGTGAGCGACACCTGTGACAAAGTCAACAGTGGTGTTTTCTGAGCTCAAATGCCTTTTAGTTTGGTTTCACTCTAGAGTGTCACTCTTTCTCCTATTCATGTTTATAGAAATGTGCATTTCTGAAAAGGAATAGACAACAAAATAATTGTTTCTATTCAAAAGTGGGGTTGGCAAGACCTTGTCAAGTTCTGTTTGTTTCCGTTGCATTGATGTTTAATTTATGTTTCCTTGGTTACCTGTCATCTTTTGTTCCATTTTCAAACCAGTCAATCATTATTAATCATTTGAGTCATATTTTCTATTACTTCGCAGTTATTAACTTTTGATTAGTTCAAAGAATCCATGTGAAAAAAATTATTTCTTGACCAACAACAACAATAATAGTGTGTGTGTATATATATATATATATATATATATATATATATATATATATATATATATATATATATATATATATATATATTCATTCATTCATTCATTCATTCATTCATTTTCTTTTCGGCTTAGTCCCTCTATAAATCCGGGGTCGGAAAGAACCGCCTACTTATTCAGCATGTTTTTACGCAACAGATGCCCTTCCAGCCCCAACCCGTCTCTAGGAAACATCCACACACACTCATACACTACGGACAATTTTAGCTTACCCAATCAAAAATCAACCAGTCCTTTATTATCCTTGATTAGTTTCAGTTGTTCAAATTCAGCCTATACAGTAAGTGAAATGTTCCAATCTATAGTACACACTGTATTTTATGACCGTGTCAATCAGACTGATTTGATAGGAAGAGATTAACAAGGAAACAAGAAACCACAGTGTTTCTGGGAAATATGCAACTGTGGATTTGTTCTATATTATTTTTCTTGGTGGTCAGAACGAATACTTTACAGCATGTCACAAAGCTGTATGCCACATAATATTAACTTCTTGGTTATTGAACTGTTGCATAAGATCTTACAGTTGCATTTGTGCTGATATTTGGTAAAACAACACTCATGTATTGCTAACTAAATGCTAAATTTCTAAATTGTATATACTTTACAGTATAAAAAAATGGAAACAAAAGTTCATGCAGGGACATTCAGTATCCTGCCCACATTAAATCTGAGGGTAACATGTATTGTAATAACTTTCAACCCCTAAATATTTCATACCCTGATGTATCTGTTTTTGTGTAGTGGCACGATAATGGTTGATGGGCATCTTTTTCAAGCAGATTGGCCAGTTCAAGTGAAACAAAGCTAAGGCAGGCTGTACTGAATGAACTGGAGTACATTATAGTGGATAAGCAGAATTGCTGAGGAAGAACCGAATGGTCAGTGTCTCTGGTACCTGCTGTGTTTGAGGTTACTGGTCGGGCAGCACCATCACACTTGGTCTCGCAGAGGAAATCATCGATGGAAGGGCTCAGCAAGGGACGACTCTCTTGTTGCTCGCTCACCAGCTGAAAAACCAAGTAGAAGAGTGTGATGAGATCTACATTCATTCACTTGGCCTCCTGTACTCCGTTTTCCTGAGCTGAAGCCAGCCTCTATTTGCACCCTGACTATTTGTGTGTGATTGGTAACACTGGACTGAAGTGAAAATTCTCACCTTGCCCCCCTCTGACAATCATCCTAATCCTAAGTATATTTCTCTCTCCAGTTCTCACTTAAACAGAGGTAAGGAAGGCCGGTACAAATAGTGCACGTGCCATGCTTGTTTTTCTATTTGAGAGCACAGAGTAATTGTGTATGCATATAATTATGACAAGGTGTGAGGCTGTCTTTATAAAGCCCCTCATCAGTGCATGGTGTGTGTACCGTGTGACAGAATGAGTGTATGTACTCTTGAGAGACTGGCGTAGAGGTGGCCCTGTGTCTAACAAAATGGAAAAAACACATCAATCATCATCTGCTTGTTCTCATGGTGTTCATTCAGCCATGCCACAGTCTCGTCAGAGGAGAGCACTTTTGTGGGCAGCGCATGAGTACAGCAAATCTACATTTTCAGCCATAACTAGCTCTTATTCCAAAATGCAATATCTTTGTCTGGAGACAGAGACTTTAAAGAGATTTACAATGCTTAATCTGTGTCCTCAGTGTGGATAAATTCATTATTTTTCTTACCACAATTATATTAACTATATGAAATATAGTTTAAAAAAAAAGCTTAGTAAAAGTATGTGTCTGTGTTTGCATCAGAGGCTCTGTTAGACTCTTTCGGGAATTCTAGCAAAATTCTGCTGTGCCAAAGCAAAAATATTTCAAATAAATCCTTGTCTAAAGAAGGAGATTACCCTATAGTGACCCGAGAAACAGACTAATCTGTTAATTGGTTTTGATAATCTTTATTGTTGTCATCATTTAAGACATGAAGGCTGAACAAACCAGCCGAGGTGAACATTTCTAATTATATACATCTTCATCCTCTTGCACTCCTCTTCCCTTCTTTAAATTTGCTTAAGGTGTAGATATGGAAGTCAGCTAGCGGCAAAGCTAAGGCTTAATGTTAATGTGTAAATCTATTTACATATAGATTTTGAGGAATGAGTTTTTGCATGTAATTTAGATACATATTTTATTATATTCAACATTTTAATAAAAACGGGGCAAAGCAGTGGCGCAGTAGGTAGTGCTGTCGGCTCACAGCAAGAAGATCGCTGGGTCGCTGGTTCGAGCCTCGGCTCAGTTGGCATTTCTGTGAGGAGTTTGCATGTTCTCCCTGCATTCGGAGTGGGTTTCCTCTGGGTGCTCCAGTTTCCCCCACAGTCCAAAGACATGCGATACAGGTGAATTGGGTAGGCTACGGGTATTGCCCGTTTTGTATAAGTGTGTGTGTGAATGTGTGTGTGGATGTTTCCCAGAGATGGGTTGCGGCTGGAAAGGCATAAAAACGCGTAAAAACTTGCTGGATAAGTTAGCGGTTCATTACGCTGTGGCGACCCCGGATTAATAAAGGGACTAAGCCAACAAAATAAAATTAATGAATTATAATATAAACCAGTTATGATGCAAATAGGGGCGGCACTGTGGTGCAGTGTGTAAAACTGTCACCTTACAGCAAGAAGGTTGCTCGTTCGGGTCTCGGCTGGGTCAGTTGGCATTTCTGTGGAATGTTTGCATGTTTTTTCCATGTTCGCATGGGTTTCCTCTGGGTGCTCTGGTTTCTCCCACAAGTCCAAAGACATGCGCTATAGGTGATTTGGGTAAGCTAAATTGTCCATGTATGTGTGTATGTCCTGGTCCTCTAGGTTGGGGGCTGAGTATTGGGCTAACAACCCACATCGTAAAAATTAGATGTTATGGAACACCATTATGGTGCAGCTAAATATCAACTTTGATATAAACTTCGTAATAACTTTGATATAAACAAAGTTAGATACAAATATATATTTGATATAATCAGAGCAGGTAAGTATTGTGTAAATACAACATTTGCATTAAGAGTGTTAAAGTATAGAGTGTTCAAGCCCCTGTGAAAATGAGAAAAAAAAAGGATAGAACTGTACATGATTCATGTACATGATTATGGGTTTGGTGCTTGAAAATATACAAGTTTCCAAGTTAGAGTTCATGTAAATTCTAACATTTTCTAACATTTTGTGGAAATGCCATATCTGAATGTGTATTATGTGACATGCACAAGTAGCCAATATTTGACTAGGAAAACAATTAGGACAATATACAGTAGGCCTATATAGGCAAGCTTGTGTATGCATGTGTGAACGAAGTGCAGGGATGGAAGGTAAATATGAAATATAACTATTCGTGTTACTGTATTTTAGTAAAGTTTTGTATCATTTGTGCCATTTTGAGTAATTTTTTTATACTTTTACTTTTTCAGTTCAGAAAAAGTTCAGATATTTGAACCGGGAAAAGCAAAACGTTTCGACAGCTTCATTTAAAGAACTAAACATAATAATCAACATTCACACAATGAATGAGCTCAGACTGAACATATGGAGAACTACATAGTAGTGTTACCAAACTACCCATATTTGAATACATATCAATACTGAAATAAGTTTCCAATTATAATTTTCCACATACTGTATTTACAAACAGACACATCTTGCTCTTTCCTCCACAACAACGTCCTGCCTCATGTCACTCATGTCACTTAAACTGAATTTGAGTGTGGGATTGCAGGCATTGTGCAAGATGACTTTAAAATCTTATTAGCAGTCTTTGCTGTTAATATTGCTTAATATTGTTTTAATATAAAACATTAATCAGTTAGGTTAGGTTTCAGATAAGAAACTGATTAAAAATACTGTAACCCATTGTCGTATTAATGCTCCAAAACTGTACTCAAATGTAAATAGCAGCTGATCCTAAAGTCACCTCAATTAAATGATTTTTTATGGTGTTTTTGCAAACACATTACTCTGAGTGAGAAAATAAGGGGACATTTTTAATACTTAATGGGGACTGTTTCCCAGTATGAATCAATGGCTAGAAACTGCTGTGTGTTTTCTGAAAATAGTGCAAGGATACTTATTTTAGGAAAACTGCAGGCTGTATAAAAAGCACTGATGTAATTTCATGTCACATTCATATATCCTACACACAGGCTTAACAACAACAGACTCTTCAAGCAACACTGCCTAAATTAATGGACAGTTGTGTGTTTATCACACAAATTGGAATAAACTATAAATTGATTAAAACGTCGGACCTTATCTAGACTGGCTTAATTGAGGGCTGCCTTACAGTATTTTCCCTCGGATGTCTTTGTAATTGGTCCAAAGCTAAGGTTAGGTCATAGAGACAAAAACCAATAAGAATCAGTTTTTAGAATTGAGAAGAATCAAGATTTAAGAAAAATTAATCATTCATCCAATTAATAATATTCCTTCGACCCCCAACGAATACCCTTCCAGCTGCAACCTAGTATTGGGAAAAATCCGTATACACTCATTCACACACATATACTTTTTTTTATCCAATTTACCTACACCACATGTCTTTGGACTGTAGGGGAAACCGGAGCACCCGGAGGAAACCCACACGGGTAGAACATGCAAACACTTCACACCAGCTGTGGAGATGTGGAAATGCCAACTGACCCAGTGAGGACTCGAACCAGTGACCTTCTTGCTGGGAGGCGACAGTGCTAAGCACTGAGCCACCATGTTGCCCAAAAATAAACCATTAGCAACAAAAAAAAAATTGATGTAGTGCTTGACAACTCTATATTTTGTATTTTTAGGCTGTGTAAGCAACTGTATGAAGAATTGTTATCACTACATACAATAACGTAACAGAAGCTTTGAAACAAATACTGAATATTCATGAATGCTGCGTATGTTGGCCAGAGCGCTTGGGAGAACATTCCTGTTGTAAGAGTGTGTGCCAGAACGCTGACCCAGCAGTCTTAATTGGGTTGCACAGACATCTCTGGCTCTGCTGGTGTCAGGGAGGAGATTTATTCCTTCACTGGCTGGAATGCCTGATGTTACCCAGGCTGAACTCTTACTCTAACAACACCTTGTACATGTTTGACAGAAGTATAATAAATAATGCCACTGCAACTGTTGTCTTCACATCTTATGCAACAAAAACAAAATATGTGCTTTTATTTAAGAGCTCAGATTTGCTGATTAGCAAGCATTTGAAGTGTCAGGCTGTGTTATGTAACAGCATTTCCCGGTCGGATGTTTCATTACTATAGGTGAGCCGAATTTGGAGCACACTTTTAATTTAAAACACTTCAAGTCTAATAATAAAAGCGTAACTTCCTCCCTTGTGAATGCCAGCAGAACAAGGGCCGTAATTTTGAAAATGTTTTGGCTCCACTGCTTAATTAGTTTCCTCTGTATTCTGTTTAAAACTGTTTTTTTACTTCAGGCACAAATGAGTTGCTGACATTAATAGGAATTATTAAGAGGACAAAACTCATTCTTGTAATTAGAGAAGATAATGTAGTGACAACAGTTGATTTATTTTATTAACTCACTTTGCTTATTTCAAATGGCAGCGCGGTTGATTGATGATTTTTCTGTCTGAGGGAAGAAAACACATTAGGTGGATCTTCATTTAAATGTGCATTCAGAAGTTTGGTGCTAATTAAAATTAAGTATTTTGTGAAGAGTCATCTGAAAGTTGTGCACAGACATGAGAGGAAGAATGTAATAATAATAGTTTTACAATAGAAATAGAAAACCATTATGTGATCATATAAATATGAGGTGGCATCTTGGTGGTGCAGTGGGTAGCATGATCCCCTCACAGCAAGAAAGTCGCTTGTTTGAGCCACAGTTGGATTAGTTGGCGTTTCTGTGTGGAGTTTGCATCTTCTCCCAGTATTCACAGTGGTTCACATTGGTTTAATCTGTGTGCTCTCCCCCTCCCCCACAGTACAAATACATGCGCTGTAGGTGAATTGAGTATGCTAAATTGTCTGTAGTGTATGAGTGTGAATGAGTGTGTATGGATGTTTCCAAGTGATGGGTTGCAGCTG